ATATTTCAAGTTAATTGAAATCAAGGTGTTTATAAGACTGGTTTATTCTTTCTTTATACTTTAGAACATATCCGAATTGTGCATCAGTGTCTGAAATGTGTGCTATTAGTGTGAAACTTTTAGGAAACTTATCCAAGCTGCAGGCTAGTCAATAATCGTATCTGACATAAAGGATCCGCGAATGAAACTATAACCACAAACACCATTAACCTAAGTGAATCAAATGAAATCATCAGCAATATGCGTTCACACAAATACATTTTTATTTGAATGTTTTTTGTCAAGATCTGTGAGGAAGGACCCAAATGCAGAATGGCAATTACAGGGGTTTATTCACAAAGACAGGGCACAAGAGGGTTAGTGAGCTGTGAAACTGTCCAACAACAGGGGATACTGGGACAGGACTGCCTGGGATGAACGCTGAAACCAGCCTCAGAAAACAGCAGGTGGGAGATCTGCAGAGAGAGTGGCAGGGCCAGGCAGATAGATGATGATGTGGGCCAGGCAAGGCACTAAGGCAGAGATCTGTCACTAGAGGAATGCCGACTCCCAACCAGTCTAGCAGCCAGGCAGAGGGAACCAACATGCAGGGAAAGACAGGAGGCGCGCCAGGCCTGGGACAGGGAACACTCACAATAGAACAAGACACAACTCAACAGGTACACGAGACAAGACTATCAAGACAAGCAGTAAAAAACAAAGCTAAACAAAGAACTAAAAGTAAAACGAAACAAAAGTGAATAAACGAAGGAACTGATAAAACGGCCAAACAAAATAAAAAACCAAGAGTACCATATAACATGAAAATAAGAGAATAAAGAAAAATATTAAGTGAAACCAGAAAAGTCTCAGCTTCTAAGACTAACAAATAAAGGCAAAAGAGTAAATGAACCAAGGAGCAAAACTAAGAAAGAAATACAAGACTAGGAAGGACTAAAAATAGACTAAGCGCAGGAAGATACTTGATGAAAGATGCTAAGAAACACATATGCACACAATGAACTAGCAAAAACAAGAGGGTAGAGAGCGCAATAAATACGGAGGAAAGCACATGAGGATCAGGGGCCGGATTCACAAAAATCTTCTTAAGAAATAAGTTAAGACATTTCTTAAGATAAATTCCACAAAGTTCGTAAGAATGTTCTTAAGTGCAATTCTTGAAAAATTCTTAATAAGTTCTCAAGTATATTCTTAAGAACATCTTAATTTTTTTCTTAAAGCCAGTTTTATACTTTCCGCATGAGCAATCCGGATGCATACACGGACAGCGCAGACATGGACTACTTGTATTTATACTACCGAAAGCATACTATGATGGTCCGCTCTGCGGACGTGTTTTCATACGTGTTTCCATAGATCGGCTTGAACAGTAAACAAACATGTGAAGAAACAATTGCCCACAGTTATTGTACGTCTGACTGTCTTTATTTTGCTTTATCGATGGATTGTACACGTTCGAGCAGCAACGGGCTTATTCACACAGTCTGCGCATGCGCAGTTGGTGCTTTTGTAGCCTACTGACTGCGCAAAATGCGAGGCGCGTGGAGCATCCGCGCATACTCTCTGATACCATAGCGGACCCTAGCGGACTCGCGCACACGGAAAGTATAACACAGGCTTAAGAAGAAAATAACAGTCCTTATCTGAGTGAATACGGCACTGATAAACTCACACTTTATTGTATTTTTGCGCTTCCTGCAGATTACCCTATTAATATTAATCTTAAACACGCATATTATTTTCGTCGCGAGTTTGACTTCCACTCAGCTTCACATTTTTAATGCGTTGTGTTTTTGAACAGTTACTTTTAAAATAGCCTCTCTCAAGCTGCAGCGATATGTTTCATTAATTTTTTGTGCTGTGTTTTTGTGCTCTCATCTGAGTGAACGCTTCCGGTATGTGTGTACGTGCTGCTACAGCAAACGCATTCATGTGCGCTGAATACTGCCAATGATTGTCGTATTTATAAGCTAAAATTAAAAGAGTTCAATTAAAGCTACGTATCTGACTCATTTTAGAGTTGCTCCTGAGTTTTGAAGTCAGCAAAAAGTAGCGTCACACATAGGCTAATCATGACCAATCATTGTTTACATTATCAGTCATCGCTGTCACTTCAGAAAACTCTAGCACATCCCTATTAATAGTCCGACTATGTATTATATGTAGCTAGTGTAGTTATAATGCTTAAATATAACTATTAATTTGAAATAACCCAATAAATTCATTAAATTATTCTTACTGTTTGGGATTTAAGACAAGTCTGGGGCTGTCCTAAATTTAAGAAGTTATTTACAATGATTTTTAAGAAGATTCTTTTCAAGAATTTTTCAAGAAGAACAATCTTAAGAAAAAAGATAATAATATTCTTAAAACGAATTTTTGGGAATACAAAATATTCTTAACTTTTATCTTAAGTTAAAAAATAAGAAGGAAATGGCATTTAAGAAGAAATTTCTTCTTAAGAATGTTTTGTGAATCCGGCCCCAGGTGAACACAATTAAGGAAACAAGGACAAGATCAGGGCTAAACAAGGGGACGTGTTTAGCAAGGTGTATATATATATATATATATATATATATA